ACTCCAGCGATGACAAAAATATCTGGGGGTATCTGTCAAGGGCTCAGGGATCCAGTCATAATGTCCAGGGACTACCTGGTGAGGGGGCTGTGCAGGCCTGTGTCTGAGCCATGGCCCCTCAGTGCTCGGCAGTCTAAGCTGTACCACAGCCGCACTGCGGAGGGGACCGGCTGGCAGTGTGACCCAAGCTAGGCGCAGGCAGGGTGCTGGGAAACGGTATGAAATAAGGGAGCTTAGGTTCTCTGCTGTCTTCAGTCTCAGTACGGTTCCTCCCCCACAGAGCTGTTGCGTGCAAGGACCACCTCTCTGCTTGTAGGCAGGGGTGTGTTCCAGGACTTCACTGTATTAAAAGTGAGTCAGTGCTGATGTTGATAACATCACCTAAAAATGTGGACACTGAGCAACGGATGGAGTAAGAAAGCTCTGATAGTTCCTGAAGGCAAAACCCCACACGTAATCCGACTCCCAGCACGGGTGACCCCGTCTCAGCATCTGCCTGTGATCCATCTGGTTTTCACCACCACGGCCACACTTACGTCATCTCTCCCCTGACCTTTACAATCACCTTCCCCCACATTCATCTCCCTCGATTTCACTTTTATACGATTACCAGTGCGAGTTCCAAAATGAAAACTGAACAGTATTAAAGCTCTTCCATCATCGAAGGGGACCAGAATTAAATTATGTTTCCTTGTCTATCTTCTCTTCTGCAGACCGTGAGCTTCATAAAGGCAAAACATAAATTTAAAATTCCCCCCTGAATCCATAACAGTGCTCGGGAAAGCCTTGCTGAAAGACATCTGTGTCATCATCTCCGAAGGTCTACCCTCCTGTCTCCCACTGGCACCGTCTGGACAGACAAGACCCGGAGCTCCATGGCCTGGCCTCCCGTGGCCTGCTGAACCCCAGCGTCAGGGCCGTGTGCGACACCAGCCGGACCAGCGGCGCAGGGCTGCCGATGCACGCGGACTCGGGCCACGGCACTAGAAGAGGCTGTAAGGTTTCTTCCTGCCTCATGGTGACGGAAGGGACAGCAGCATCTAAAGCTGTGTGGCTTTTCCCCGTCACTTCCAGTGCCAGTGTGCATAAGTTTAGGGAAAATGTAAGATATAAAGAGAACACTATTTGGGGGATCCTGATTCCTTCAAGACATGGCCTCTCACTCCGAGTACAAGTGGCTTATCTTGAGAGGTAGAGAGGAATATAGAACTTTTTAATTTTTAGAGTGGTAAGATACTAGGTATGTGCTTTGCCTACAAGCCACACCTAATATATATATATTTTTAATATAATATTTACACAATGTATGTATAGGTACACACATATACATATATAAATATTATATATGCTATACATAAATATTATAAACACAATGTTCTATCATGTACACGGATGTACACAGATGTACAGAGCCCTTCTGCCTGCCCTACGGCTTTGAGAAGAACTATGATTTGCAGGATATGGTGTATACCTCCTCTCTCATCTCTTCCTCTCCAAATGCCAGCCATATTTCAAGGCCCAGGAGGTCTCGCCTGCTCCATGAAGCTTTTACCATCAACAGGCCTTCTATAATTTAACTCAAATCTTTTGACCTCAGTTTACTGCCAAAGGGAATAGTTACAAATACAGTGGTCATGCACCACACCTTCTGTCCAAATTAATCCGATGCCATCCACAAAGCAGGTGCTCAAAAAATATCGGTTGGACACCAAGCGTGTGAAATGGAACCATGCGCCCCCTAGTAATGCACCCCCTGGTATGGCGCCCTGTCCGCAGTAGAAACCCAGTAACCACACAAACTGCTCTCCATGCACACCTCACGTCGGTCCCTGTGTGCTTCGTTCATGCTGTTCCTTTGTCACAGCCGCTATTCCTAGAGTTGCCTCCTGCTCGCCTCAGACTTCAAAGTCCTAACCCAGTAGTCTAGCTTCCGCGGAAATTCTCTCTAATTCACTACGGCCGGGAGTGACCTGCCTCTCTTCACTCGTTCAGAGTGTAGTTTGGGCGGCTCCTTCCGTCGTTAATAAACCCTGCTTCCTACCATAATTCTTTGTGTATATCCTGATCTCTTAACTCATGGTAAGTTCCTTTAGAGGAGAATCACTGTATCCTTCATAGCCCTAAGTTTGATCTTTGAAAGGAGAACGATGAGAAAAAAATATCTGTACGTTGAATTTGTTGAATTAACTAGTCCAGCCCACCTTGGTTTATTCTTTTTCAGAGCACCTTGACCATTAGTATTTGTCACACAATCTACACCTGAAAGCGATATAGTCTCTCATTAATTTCTAGAAGTTTATCACATCCCAACTAGACTGGACTTTTGCAGGGCAGGCCTGCTCCCGCCTCAGGTTGCTGAGGTCAGTGAGCATGCTCAATGATGCGCTGACTGAAATAGAAGTGATAAGAGCTCACTTATCAGAGGCGCTCCTTGGACAGCTATTTACGTCCATCAAATCTTGAAACAGAGTTCTCACTAAATGCATCCCCCCAAAGCAGCAGTTCGGACGTAGCCAGTTGACACGGCCCGGCCCCAGGAAGCCCTCTGGAAGGGAGGCGTAACTGTTGGTCACTCCTGATTCTGGAATAAGAAAGTCTCTCTGAGACTGCATAACCTGCCTTGAGGAGCAGGCACAGAGACTAACACTCAGGATGAAAGACAGCGAGAGAGAATCTATTGCAACACTTTAGCTAATATAATGGTGGCACTGTTCAATGTTTAGTTCTCATTAAATTTCCCATAGGGCAATTAGACTTAATAAAAAAGCCTCTCAGGGCCAGTGTATTTCTAATTGCTCATCTGCCCAGGCAAGAAAATCCCTGCTCAACACTTCAAGTGCCAACCTTCCCCAGGCACTGCGATCTGTCACCTTCTCCCAGCTCCTGGGTGACTTTTCTGCAGGTGACGCTTTCCAAATACCTTACTCAGCACGGCCACGTGTTTTACTGACCACATGGAATTTAAATGAGTGGTTGGTGAAATACAGTAGTGTTTCCTTTTTTAAAATAATCCTCACCTGTATTTTTAGTCTACCTTATACAATGGGAAAGGAAATAAAAGTAAAACTATTTGGCTACAATCTGAACCTGGCATGGCCCACGAATGTTATCTGATATTTAATCCCTGTCCCGTCATGTGATCACTTCGGCTAAATCCATCAGAGAAATGGCCAGAACGGCGTGCTCATGTTCGAACACGCTCATCTATCTGCACCTTCTTACAGAAACATCAGGCACCATCTATAACCATCCCAGGGCATTTTAAGGTGGTATTCTGGAGGAGCCACATATTGCAAAGGAACTCTGTTTAGCTCACTAAAAGAAAAAAAAAGGAGGAGGGAGAAATGTGCTCCTTGCTCGATTACTTATTAGGTACAAGCGCTCTAAGCTGCCTGGTTTGTGTTTACCATAAACTGTTGCATTTTCTTACGCTCTGCTCCTCCCGAACAAAGAGACATAGCAAACAAACGAAATGTATCAGTGAGCAAAACAAAAGGCAAACGTGAAGCCAGAGCTAATGGTGCTTTCTCCACTTTCCTTCTGAGGCTAAAGGTTTATGTCAAAGCTAAAACATCCAAGCAGCTGCCAGAGATGCCCTTGTAGACCCTCTAGGTCTACACTGTAACTTATGCTCCAGTCTTTCATCTGGGGATACATTTTTTAAAGATACGTCTTTCAATATTTCCTTTGCCATACTTTTCGTTTCACAGATTTTAAAAAATTCCTCAAGCCTTGCCCAGCGGCGTGAAAGTCACCTTAATGGAACAGGGTGAGACGAAGCCACTGCTGTGGCTCTGGAAGAGCAGAGGACCTCAGCTGTCACCCTCTGGCTCAGAACCAGGGTCTAAAACCAGCCCCGGGAGAAGCTGCTGAACCGGAGCCCGCGATTCTCTCCACGTTTGACTGGCACAGTGTTGACTTTATAACACCAGAAGGACCCAGAAATATTTCAAACAATTATGACTTCTTTTCTATAAATATTTTCAAATTGCTTTAAGAGATAAAATAACACATTTTACCTTTCTTGTTTTCCTAGTTACCCTAGTCGCCCTCAGCAGCTCACTACCACCAACTTATTTTGGGCTCTAAGTTCAGGGAGGACACCTGAAGGTACCACCTCTGCCCTGAAGCCGCGTTTCCCAACATGGGCTGAGCAGGAGGGTCAGCTCTTCTTAAAGCAGCAGTGGAATGTGGTGTCCCAGCCTGGGCAGCATAAATCGCTTCTCTCCTCTCTGGAAGCCAGGAAAAAAGTCAAGTACTCAAGACAAGCTTTTAAGAAGATCCCCGCCCCTACGTGAACACAGTTTTCTTTCTAGACAGGAAAATCCATCTTCTCACTTCCTTTCACGACCCTTTCTTGCTCTAGTTATTTCTGCTCTCAGACATCAGTTTGACTAGACGGAGCCTTCCCCACCCGGAGGAGGGTAGAGACTGCGGGAAGAACTGCAGGGACAGCCGAGGGAGCGCAGGATTTCTGAATACGTGATCCCCTATTTCAAGAGTCTCTTCCTTCACACTTCGCCAAAGGGTAATCATCCAGAAAGGGAGAAGTAAGATTTATTTGAAACCTGCAATTTCTACTGTCAGAGAATATGGTTAAGAGGCCTTCTTTCTGAGCTCTGCAAATAGACTGTGACATCCTCAGTCACAGATGAGCTGGTGATCGTAGGTTAATATCCCTTCGGTATAATTCCAGTATCTTTCCCAGAGCCTGAGGACCGAGAGGCCTGGCTCGTCTTCTTCCCATCGGTGCCCTCAGCATGATGTGCAGCATTTATTTTTGATGTGAAAACACCAGATGCTAAGGCTGGCCACTGTGTTCCCCGTAAAACATCATCACAAAAGTCCTCCGAGTTTGTGATTTTAAAGATCAGTGTCCTATCTGCTGCTTCTTAAAACTTACGTATTTTGTTTAGATCAATCAAAGAACTTAGATTTAACACAGAAAGTTCAGTGTTATTTCGAAACACGGTGGGTGGGAACAGGAGAACAACACTCACCTTCACTCCCAGGAAAAGCATCGCTTGAGCCCGCCACCGCCAAGGTCAGCAGCAGCTTCCAGAGATCCATACCTGTGGGACCTGCAATCACACAGAAAAGCACAAGATGAGGCCGACGAAAGCAGACCATCGTCATGAAAGGCTGTTTGAAGACCGTTTAAGCTGTAAATGAGCTGACAAGCCTGCCAGTTCTACAAGAAATCCTCCTGGTCAGCCTTCCAATGCCCCAGAGTCTCATATTGTCATACTTTTCACGCGAGCCAACGGCAGGTTGTAACGAGCTCTACTCCCCGCCGGGGCTGGCCTCAGGCAATAACACAGACACCAGAGAAACGCACGCCCTGGCCCACGGCCACAGAGCCACCCCGCGACCGACGACCCCCGTGCACGGACGCACGAGAGGGGCCAGCGCGGCTCACTTTCACGGGAACTGGAAAGAGAAGCTTGTCCGCCTTATCACCAAGCCCGGGCCGCGAGCTGGACAGGCCGTAAAAGGGCAACTAAACCAACCTACTGTAATAGTAAAGCTCCTCCAGCGTGTGTCCCAGTGAACTTCACTGAACACTCAGAACACCGAGCGTGAGCATCCGAAGAGGTTCGGCTGGCGGGCGGCAGAACGGGGAAGGCGAGGAGCAGGAGAGAACAGAGCCTCTGTGCTGCTCGGGTGGCCTCCCCAGGGCACCTGCTGTCCTCCTGGGTTTTTATGTCGTCTTCGGAGGAATGTGAACACCTCGGGCTCACCCCAGGGTCAGCGCGTGCCTCCGGCCAGCTGCTTGGAATCCCGGGCGCGGCCACGCCCCGAGCCTGCGGTGTGATGCACGGCGTCAGGTCAGTATGCCTCCGCAGCGCTCACCTTTGCCTGCGGGGAACGCGCTTCCTTGGACTCGGTGAACCAGGTGCCCACTTCCAAGATCTCTGAAGGGGCGAGTCCGGGCCGATTTCAAATGAACTCGGCGGACTGCCCTCAGGAGAGCTGTTGCTGCACCTGACGACTAATTGATGCCAACCTTGCTATGAAATTTTACTTATGAGTCACTACCTATACTCATGAGTCACTGAGGTATGTCGGATCGTCTCACTGGGGGCCCCTCCGGGCCCCTGTCGGCCCTATTTTTGTTATTGTACATCCTTGACAATAATGAAATAGCCCTTCTGACTACCCCTCCTCAGGTGGGAATGATGAACAAGAATGTTTGCTTTCCTGGGTAACAGAATGAGGTGGTCCCTGGAAACGGCTGCATCGTTCTGAAGAGGCATAAAAGGTCGCAGGTCCTGTATGCTCATGTCTAGACAGCGAATAAGCCATCTTTTCTTTTTTAAAAGGTTTTATTTATTTATTTTTAGAGAGAGGGGAAGGGAGGGAGAAACAGAGGGGGCCTCTCGCACGTGCCCAGCCAGGGACCAGCGTGCTATCCAGGCACGTGCCCTGACCGGGAATCGAACTGGAGACCTTTCGCTTGGTGGGACGACGCCCCATCCACTGAGCCACACCAGGTCAGGGCACCCATCACTTCTTTGTTCCATATGATTTTGTATTCTTAAAAAATTCTAAGAAACCACATCTGTATGTAAATGGAATCTCTTCCTGCGTCTGAACCCCGTCACACGTGGCCCCTGGGAGTCCCTGATAGACCGAGGGGACCACAGATGAACCCATTTCGCCGGCTGTGGGACTTAGGACACCCACGGTGTACATCCCTAACCTGGAAGGCTCTGCCTAACGGCCTTGCATCCTCCTCGCCTGCTTGGCCAGTGGGCTCCCCTGAGCTTGTCTCCCTATGTCCTCTGCTCCTGGGTGACAACTTTGAGGCCAGCAGCGGAAGTACCTAAAAAGGCTAAACACCAATATGTTATGGGCTGAAAAACGCCATCCTGTTGGTAACTGGATATTTCCTTTTAAATTCTATTTTTTAAGTATTTTTTTTTAAATACAAAAAGCCTTGAGGAGCTGAACTCTGTACGAGTTCATCTCACCCTCGCGCCCCCCGCAGTCGGTGGCAGGTACAGCAGCCTCTGGGCACACGCTCGCTTGCCGTCGGTTCTAACCGATTCCCTGTGCCCAGGCTGTGCGTCTGCTTCCTAGCTGACGAGGGGTGTAACGAAGCTTGCCTGTCTCAGAAGGGTGCCTTTGCTGGTCCGGAAGTCAACTCTTCATACCACCCACAGAGACACGGTGGGTGAGGGACACGTGTGAATCTTGCTTCAGGTGAATAGTAGTTGACGCCTGCCCCAAGCTGCAGCCTGCGTGTGAGCCTCACTTCCCCTGAAGAAGCAGCTTGTAACAGAGGGCCATGCCTGCGCTCCGGCTCTACCTTAACTCTAGCCTGTGCGTCTCCCTGGGCCTCCAGCTGAGTATTTCCTGCTCTGGGGAGGCTAATCATCAGAGGAATTCTGCTTGAGGTTGGAACTTTTGGCAAAGATCTGCAGGAGCCTCATGACCAGGGCAGGTCAGCAGGGGCCAAGGAACCAGGGAACAAACAGCTCTGGAGGTTTTGTGCTCTCCCTTGCTTCCTCGTTGGGCCTATATGACATGCCTCTTGCCCTAGCCCTCCTCCCTTCTCTTGACATAAAAGATGCCTGAATTCTGGGCTCAATTCACACGCATTTGTGGGACCTATAAGGCATCCCCTATCTTCTCAAGCTGGCGCCATCTCCATCAATAAACCTCTCCTAACTTCAAACTCTGGTATTTTGAATCTTGGCCTTTGAAGTGTCCAGCACATGAACCTTGAACCCGTAACAAGCTGATTATCGCCAGCCCCCTATGAACCAAACATATCTCCATGGAAAATATTCTGTCTCACAAAGCAAACAGATCAGAATTCCCCCGGGCAAAATTAAACAGGAATCTGCCTGCCCACTCCTAGAGCAAAAAAAAAGAAAGAAAGAAAGAAGAAAGAAAGAAAGAAAGAAAGAAAGAAAGAAAGAAAGAAAGAAAGAAAGAAAGAAAGAAAAGGAAAGAAAAGAAAAGGGTGGCCTGTAAAACTGCCATTACCCCAAACAGGGGCCGTGCACAGGGCCCCAGCGTGACTCCCCGCCGGGGCTCGGGGCAGAAGGAAGGTGGGGGTGGGGGGCTGTGTCAGTAAGGGCTGGTGGCCCAGCAGAGACTGGTGCTCTCCCCTTGCACTGCTGCTGGCTTGGGGTCAGCAACTCCAGTGGCCACCAGCTGCACTTCCCCAGTGAGCGCCCTAGAGAACCCCACATAAGCCGGACCAGTGGGCCCTCTGTCCAGCTGCATCGTAAGCTGTCCCCTTCTCCTCCGTGGAGCTCTGTGCGGCAGCTTCCTGAGGAGAGGATCCTCGTTCCTTAGGTTCTAGGTGAGACAGGGCCTCCCTAGGAGAGGACAGCTACAACGCGCAGAGTTCAGCCCTTGAATGTCATCTACCAGCGATGTGGCACATGTGAGCACGACAAAGTCCCATTGTCCCCTTCCCCAGCATCACAGTCCAAGGAGAGGCAGGCACTGGCCGGAGGATTACACAAAACAGTACCTTAGCTGACTGGGTTTTTTAGTTTGCAATACTTTTCTAGGGAAAAGCCCTCTCCAACAACATCCGTACATTCCTCAGCTATGACCTCATGGCAAGATGTGCGCTTGCAGGCGCACAGACAAGCTTCTACTCCTGCACCGTGGAGCACCCGCCCCCCTCCCAGCGCCAAGGCCTCCGCCTGCTCCCCCTCCCGCAGGGCAGGGCCGGGCCAGTGGAAAGCTGCGCAATCTCCCAGGCCAGAGTTTTCATCCTGGAGGCTGCCCGGCGAGGAGACCTCCCCGTCGGTTAGGCTTGTGATAGACGGACTTTTATTTCTTGGCTATAAAACAGTCCATAAACACATGAGAAGAAATGGAGATTAAATATAATATTATTCCAACTTGTTATAACCAACTCCAGGCAAAGAAAACAATTGGTCCAATTCTCTTTAATTTAAAATTAGCAATATTTGTTGAACTGCGAGTGCCTGTTGCATTGTGCAAGACACAATGGGGAATACTGAAGCACCGAAAATCGGGTTCTTGACCTCAGGAATTAGGCGAGAGAGGCCCAGGCGACTGGGAAAAGAAGCACATCTCCCCATGGAAGGTCCGAGTCCGGCAAAAAGCCACGGGAGGCACGGGCTTCAAATGAGAACTAAATGACAAATAAGGTCGCGATGGCTAGAGAAAGGAAGAGGGCATGGGTGAGCCTTTGTTGCGGGTAAAAGTTCCGACCATGCGTGCAGTGCGGGGTTGTGGGTCTGGGTTCTGATCCGTCCCGGGCCACAGACAAAGAGGGCCGGGAAGCCAGAGAGCAGGGTTCGGAATTGTGAGTACCGCGGACAGAAGGAGACGGCGACTCACGGCAGTCAGCGGCTCACTTCCGGTTTTGGTTCAGGTACATCAGGTGCGAAAGTGAATTTTCTCAGCAGAAATCTGCCCCTTGCACCTCCTTAACTTAGTGCCACCGAGAAACACTGACAAGATACGGTGACGACGGGATGTTCCCGAAGAGGGTTGAGAGCTGTGTCCGTCCCACATGACGGCGCGTGGAGCACACGTGGGAATGAAAGCTGCTGCTATCACCAGGAATCGGGGACTTGGGATCCGAGTTGGTGAGAGGGAGGAGAAGGTCGCATGACTGCCTTGGAGAGCTGGTGCTTGAGGCGGTTATGAGACTTGTGGGAATGTCAGCCACGTCTAAGAGGAAGTTGAAGGTACAAGACCCAAGACTGAAAGGAGGTCATTTCTGGATTTCAGAGATATTGACACAGAGATGATGGGAATCAGATGAATTTAATGTGAAGACCAGACTATCCCATGCAGAACCCCACATCACCTTCCTTAAAAGTAGCATTAAAAAGTATACAGGGAAGAGCGTGCTCGTATCTGGTTTGTAATTTGGCACAGACAAGACGAACCACCACCCCAAACTACCTACACCCTCTGATTTGTAGCAAGTCTTTAAAAGAAAAGTGATCAAAAGCATCCCAACAAGTGTGCTGTAGCATATTAAAGTATGGAAGTAATAAAATGATAGGCTTAGTTGCTTGCAGTCCTATTAAAGCAAAATACCAAACAGCAGCTGAATCGATCAGAAATAATGTTT